ATATATATCAGCATCCTTACTGGCTTTGTAATCATTTTGGGCAGATTGAATGTGCTGTATTGATATGTATCTATGTAATTGTAATGTATGTCTTACAGATAATTCACAATTTAAATAATGTTATTTTATTTACTTTTTTAACAGAGAAGAATGTACATTTTGTCAGTTTATTTCTGACTAGGATTTTTTAATTTTTATCTACAAACAATTATTATAGTTCAGAGCGGTACTAGCATTGTGCAGTATAAAATCATTTGCACTGCCCTGAGTAGAAGTGGAGTGGAAACACCCACATACGCAAGCATACATACAGATTAATTTAAGCTGTTTCTTGTCAGGTTGCATTGTTCTTTGGCAGATGAAAAGGTTAGTTTGCATCTCCAGTCTTTTCGTGGTAATAGTCCCAAAAACAATTGTTTGGGGGTTTTTTTTTGGTTTTTTGGTTTTTTTTTTACCACAATGAAGATTCTCTGTGGCCACTTTATATTAAGGCATTATAAGGTATCTGGAGCCACTGAGCTGGCAGCTCTGTATTATAAAACCTGTGCTTTTATAAGGTGATAGGGGCATGTGTCGAATCTATTCACAAGAGGGGCTAAATGGAACCCCTTTACAATTAAATCTCCAGGTGCAACAGCATGATCATGAAAAATGGGTTGGAACCACTCTTAAATACGGGGCACACATTTCAACATGTATTCCATTTGAACGCTGTTTTTTGTACTTGTATTTCCAACACACGATGGGAATTTGAAACATACAAATGCTTTGTGCTACCAGGGGATTCCTAGGAATTCATTTTAGCAGCAGTTTTCATCTATTACCCCAAAAAACTGATTGCTCTGATCACACTTCCTCAAGTATGTCATATTTCAAAATTTAGTGCAAACTAACATTTGGAAAAAAAAATGTAATTTTCTTTAAATGTAACAATGTTGCAGTTGATACTTTCTATAAGTGTTTTTTGTTGGAATGTCAAAACTAATCCTAAAATAGGCACTATAGGAAAAAAAATGACACACAATTTACAGGATTAGGGATTTTTTTCCGATGCTGATGCAAATGAAGGATATCATACAAAGGAACTATTGTTTATTTAACCATTTTGTATCCATTGAACTTAAGAATGGAACCTGAGGTATTATTTATATGGCATTACCCATTTTACTGGATCCTTGTAATATCTCAACAAGGAAGACTGCTATTGGAGGAGATGAATCTCTGTGCAGCATTTGAAATGGCAAACCCCTCACTCAGTTTACAGAGCTTTCCTCTCAGTGTTCTGAATGGACAAGAGGAACAAGTGATGTCACGCGGATACGGAAGTGGCCAGAAAGTGTGGCCAGTAGCCCTGGTTCATCTTTTTCATCAGAAGTGACCTTGTGAAAGTGACTTTGTATCTGTTGTCCAGGATTTCAAAGCCAATTTACCAGATCTTCACTGAGGACTGCACATGACGGTGGTGTGCCCTTCGAAAGAATTCAGAAAAAATGCTTTGAGCCCCTTGTAAGAGGGAGCCCAGTATCTGCTGTTAATTAAAGAAGCTGTCATTTTTCAGGCTTCTGTATGAGCCTGCAAAAAAATCATATCTGTCTGAAGGAATCCGTGCATTAATGTTAATGAGACTCTTAAAGCAGGTGAAACTTTTCTTCAGCCTCACTCAAGCATGAAAAAGCAGAGAGGTGCTGGGCTTGTGATTGTGTGAGGTCAGAAGAGGTCAGAACCCAGGCCTACCAAACATTTTCATCTTGAAATGAATGGAAGTTGTAACTAATTCCCATACCTGGTGTATGACAGTATCTCTTCTCTTTAAAAGGGAATAAACAGACCTTTCCAGTTTAAGTGGATTTTTTTTCCTTTATTTTTTTTAAAAAATAGGTTGAAGGAAGGAAAGAACAGAAGAGGTTAAATTGCTTTGGGATATGGAAGTGTTCTTTATTATGGATCCTTAGAAAAATTTTGGAAGCATCTGAAGGGGGGAGAATCAAAAAAAATGAGGTGGCAAACTCAACTGTGGCCACCGTCTTGACCTTCTCCTACAGACCCCTGTATTTTTAAATTTCCATAATAAAGAACTTAAAAGTGACATAATCTGTCTTCTTTAGCTGTAGTATAGGTAAATTAGAATTTTTTGTGGGAGTAAGGGATATTCTGAATTGGAAGGAGAACTTTGACATACCAAGGCAATCTAACTTTGAATTGTCATCACAACATTGCTTTGTGCCAGAGATCAAAGTGCATCACAGATTTTTACTTTAAAGTGATACTGCTCATCCCATTTGTGATTTATTATCTGAAGGTTAGGGAGAGGGTGCTTATGGGGTTTTGTTTTGTTTTGGTATACGCCTTAACAGATTTTGAGCCCAGATATTAGTGCCTCCTAAGTGGCCCAAAGTAAACTTAACAAGATGTGTATCTTTGCCAAAACAATGTAACACTGCAAATTGGTTTCTTGGAAAGCTGTGTCTTAATGGTTATTAGGATCCCAGTCTGCTTGAAATTTGTTCTCAATACATTTTATATTTACTGGAAGTTGTGCAACAGTGTCTCCCATTCAACTCAATGGGGCTTGTGTAAGAAAGCTGATGGATCATATCCGAGCATATACATTTTCTTACTAGAGGAGACATCCATGGCTGCTCTTTTTCTAAACTTCTTGAAACCTGCCATCCTCATATGTTAATAGAAGTCCAGACGTACAAAGGATGAATAAATGGACAAGAAGATTTTCCTTTTTTATTCAGAAGTGTTTTCATTGTGAAGATTACATGAACCAGTTTCATTTTAATGGTACCATGGCAGGATTTTTTTTTTTCCCCCCTGACTATCAGGTTTAAAAGGGAACAGACTTTTTAGGTTATATATCAGTCAGGAATGACTGCATGATTTGCCAAAATAGAAATGATAGGGGAAAACATCTGCATATTAAAGAGACAGCTAAGCTTTTACAGCTTTTGGCAGTGAGCCTCAAATGACTTTTGACATACCCATTGACCTCTCCCATTTGTTTTGGAATTTTCACAAAAGACAGATTAAATGATTAAAAGAAAAATTTAAATGTTAAAACATATAACAAAAATAAAATGTACAAAGTAAATGATAAAGATGTGCTCCTCTCCTTGGAACTCTACCGTATTTCAAAACAAAACATATACAGAAGAAGTATGTTTACATGCCTACAACAACAGTACTTTCATTTCACAAGTGGTGAACATAGACAAATAAGGCCCTATACAAGGGTGTCTGCAGGGGGGTCAAAAAAGGCAAGGTTATGCCCACAACCACATGATTGAAGCCCCACTGCTTTTTCATGTGCAATGGCTATGGCTGCTACCTTGACATTGCTTACCTCTTCCCTAAGGCCCTATTTTAGGGAAAATGTAATCATATAGTTAACATGGCTTTGGAGTTCCATCATATTGTTGACCTCAAATTATGGAAAATATTGCAGATGGCTAATTCTTGTTATTTAGACAGGTTCCTGGCTTTTGTAAATAGCTTTTTAGCCCACATTTATATCTCATAGTTGATATTCAATGTATATTTTTGTTTCATTTGTAGCCTGATTCTAATTTGGAAATTCATTTGCACATCATTATAGCCCCTAATTTAGAGTTTTGTGTTTGCTATCTGCTATAAATTTTTCTGCTTTGATCCCTCTGTTGAATTGTCCAGGAATAATTCACAATAGCTCATTTGCACGTTAGTCCTTGGTTGTAAGGCATGACTCCATCAGCAGCACATTTTTGTTCTTTTCTAGCATATGGGAATATATTTTAACTGTGGTTAAATGACGTTATTTAATGGCATTTAAAACATAGATAATCCCAGTATTTCTTAGTATGCCTGCATTCATGCAAGTAGGTCACTCTTCTTGTATTTCCTTCGAAGTAAACCTTTGAATGCAGTTACCACAATTTTATAGACAATACTTTTTTTTAGATTTTTTTTTATCCCGCCTTTATCATTTTTATAAATAATTCAAGGCGGCGAACATACCTAATACTCCTTCCTCCTCCTGTTTTCCCCACAACAACAACCCTGTGGGGTAAGTTGGGCTGAGAGAGAGTGACTGGCCCAAAGTCACCCAGATGGCTTTCATGCTCATGTTTCAATATTCATTGAACAAGTTCTCTGAAAATGAAATAGAGGCTAGTAAGTTTAAATAACAAATTTTAATATAAGATTTAAAAGTGCCAGGTAGCAGAAAGATTCAGCTGTATGTCCTTCCTTCAGCATACCTGTAAAATGCAATTTGTTAGTGATTTCTTTATACCAATGTCTTGGAATTTAGCCTTATAGGACTTATATGTTGAGCAGATGGGAACTCTTGTACTTTTAACTCAGCAGGATTTTATAACTTACACTTGTTCTTAATATTCTTCAAATGCATGTATCATCTATGATTTGAGACTGAACCTTTCTGACAACATCTAATGTGTAATATTCCCCAAATGACCGCACTAGTTAAAATTGCAGCATTTTGGCCATACTTTTGTACTCCAGCATCTTTCTTCCTCTACATTTGCATCTCTTAAAGTACTTTTGGCTCATTGTTATCTTTAAATGCTCTTTTATAATTATATTATAGGAATAAATACTTTTATTCCCATTATTGTTTCAAAGTGCAGTACTGTATCCTAATCAGGCATGCCAATCTGTAAAA